AATGGACACTGTCAAGACCCTGATATGAACTTTTAGCCTCCAGAACTTTGAGAAAATATGTCTGCTCCTTAAAGTCATCCACTTGTGGTAACTACATTACAGCCGCCCTTTGGAAAGCAAGACAAGCAGTGAGACAGGGCTACGGTGGAATTCATGTCACCTAAAATGCCAGGATTATCCACCAGAGTGGTAAGGTTGTTGGTAGGTGATGTGCCACAGTGTCGGTTCTGACCCTGCATAGGGTTTCCTAGGCTGTCAGTCCTTCCAGGAACAGAAAACCTCATCTTTCTCCCAAGGAATGGTTGATAGTTTTGAATTGCTGACTTCGAGGCTAGCAGTCCAACTTATAGCCACTACACTCCCACAGCTCCTTAGGTAGAGGCTTTGATTGCTGAGCACGTGACAGTTGTGTTTAGAGGGATTATTTTGGTGGCAGGAGATGTTTTGTAACCTGCCAGACATGGGTAATAAGGGTCAGTACTTCTCTGGTGGCCCCTGAAGAGGAAGCATTGAATCATAAATGACAATGAGACAGTCACAGAACACTAGAAATGTCTCCAGGAAACATTGCCTTCCCTTTTCCTCAAGCCCCAGTGTTTATAGCCACCGGCAAACCAACTGCTCCTTAATGAATTAACTAGCACGGAGCTTATAAATCACTGTGACAGAGAATCCCAGGACCCAAGTGTCTATGGTGGCGCTGTGGGTTAATGCACCAGACTGCAAAGCTGTTTGAGCTGCAAGGTTGGCAGTTCAAGCTCACCAACTGCTCCTTAGAAACCCTATACAGTGTCGCTATGAGTCGAAACCGACTCGACAACACTTAACGACAACCACGAGTGTCTGTAGTGAAATATCTCAGAACTGATCTCCTTGCAACCAGGGAGGCCCACCTAACTTTTAGGCTAAATCCATGTACCAAAGAAGCTTTAAAAACTCATTAGGATAAAAGGTGTGGTGTGCATACATAGATTGAAATCTAATATTTTTTCTTTGGTGCTCTAAGTATACTTAGGCAAGTCAGCTCATCATCGTTATTAGTCCTTTTGTTATTGAGGGTGGTCTAACCTGAAAAAAGGGGCAACCATATGGAATAGTTGTTGTTGTTGTTGTTGTTAAGTGCCATCCGTTGATTCTGCTGATCCTACAGGGCCACCCTAAGAAGTCCAGCCATCTGGAAAGGAAATGCAATTAGAAGTCTCCCTGAAATCTACAGTTTTGAACTAGTCTGCTGTTTGCAAAATTAGGTCACTTGCCAGATGAAGTATCATTAGCAGTTTGGGCAGAAGCTTCCAGTCTGTTTTTTCACACAGACCTGATAAATTGTGCTGAGTTCTGAACTTGATAAGTATTTTATTTCTCTAATATTTATTGAGTACTGACTATGTACTAGATCTTGTTCTAGATATTAGACTATGTTGTGGATTAAATTCTGTCCTTCCAAAATATGTGTCCACTTGGCTAGGCCACAAATCTGAGTGATTTGGTAGTTATGTAATGACATTGTATTGGTTAAAGGGTTAGATGTTGTTATGTACCATAGAGTCAGTTCTGACCCATAGCGACCCTGTCCAGGGTTTCTGAGGCTGTAAATCTTTACAGGAGCAGAAAGCCTCATCTTTCTCCCGCGGAACAGCTGGCAGTTTCGAACTACTGACCCTGAGGTTAGCAGCCCGATTCATAACCACTATGCTATCAGAGCTCCATGCAACACCCTTATTCAGGTTACAGTCCTGATCTGATGTTAGGAGAGTTTTTCTAGGATGTGGCATTCATCTTTGATTTTACAAGAGATCAAAGGAGAGAGAAACAAGCAGAGAAAGAAAGAAATTCTGGGTGTGGAGCGTATCTTTTGGACCCAGTGTTTCCCTGAATTGGGAGTCTCATAGAAACAGAGAGAAAGTCTTTTTATAGATCTGGCACTCTGAATTCAGACCTCTACTCTCCTAAACTAAGAGAATAAATGTCTGTTTATTAAAGCCATCCACTTGTGGTATTTCTGTTGTAGCAGAACTCAAGAATTAGAGATGGGTAACATTGGTAAACAAAATAGAGTCCCTCACTAGCAAGGAGAGACAAACAATAAATAAGTGGATTATGATAGGAGGAGGTTAGTGACACCGGCTGGAGAAAAGGCATTGAAGGGTAGAGGAGAACAGGAGTTCCAAGGAATGCAGAGGGGCAGTTTTAGAGAGAGTGTTCAGGGTTGAACTCAGTGAGAAGGTGAGCAAAGATTGGGGATAAAAAAGAGATAGGTGTGCAGATCGCTGAGAGAAGAATGTTCTAAGCAAAGGGAACAGCCAGTGCAAAGGTGCTGGGGCAGGGGAGAGGTAAGTCAGTGAAGAGGCTTTGTGCTGTTTCTTTCCCCAGAGACAAACAACCAACAAGAAAAGCCTGGAAAACATAGCAGTTAAGTTTATTTGTAAAAATACTGATTCAAAATAAATAAATTAAAATAAATTTACAAATTGATTTAAGAAGATGCAAAGGGCATGAGAGAAGGTTTCCTGGCTTGGAGACTGCTGTGGTTAAATCCTGACTCTGTCACTTCCTATCTGTGAGACCATCATGATATTGTTAAGTGCTGTCGAGTCGGTTTCAACCCATAGTGATCCTGTATAGGGTTTCCATGGAGCGGCTGGTGAGCTTGAAGTCCCAACCTTGCAGTTCAAACCGACTTTGCAGTCCAGCGCATTAACCACAGCACCACACCAGGACTCCTGTGAGATCTTAGGCAAGTTATTTAGCCCTTCTCTCCTTTAGTTTCCACGTATGTGAAATGAGACTAATAAGAGTACTTTATTAATACAGCAACCTACTAAGATGGTTTCAATGATCAAATGAGTAATAAAAAGCTTGGAACTATGTCTGGCACATAGCAAGCACTCAAATGTTAGCTATTAATATTATATTTCTGTGCAGGTCAAAGCCACCCAATGGCTCTGCAGAAAAAGACCTGGAAATCTTGATCCATAAAGATCATTGTGTTGTTGAATGCCGTCAAGTTGGTTCTGACTCATAGCAACCCTGCACAGGGTTTCCAAGGAGCAGCTGATGAGTTTGAACTGTCGACCTTGTGGTTCAAACCAACCTTGTGATCCAGTGCACAGCACCACACCAGAACTCCCAAGAAAATCCTTTGGGGTAGTTCTGCTCTGTCCTATAAATTCAAGTTCATTGGCATCAGCTCCATGGCACCCAATGACAACTAGTTTGTATTACTTTTATATCAGTTGGTGCCCTAATCTGGGATATTTTTAGGGTGTGTTTTAAGGTTTTTATATTGTGTGACTCTGTATGCGTGTGTCTATGTATGCATTGTGAGTATCGGGCTTACTTATTTCACACAATTTGTGTAAGAATTAGGTAAAATCATACTGCTTATTCTCAGTTTGTTGTTGTTATTAAGTGCCGTTGAGTCAGTTCTGATTCCCAGAGACCCTGTATAGGGTTTCCAAGGAACAACTGGTGGATTTGAACTGCCGACCTTGAGGTTTTCAGTCCAATGCTGATCCTACAACACCACACAAGCAGTCCTAATACTTAGTAAGACCTCAATACATGTTAATTTTCTTCTCCTCTGACGGTGTTTTACAACAACAACAAACAAACAAAAAAAAACAATAGAGGATTTTCCTTTTCTGCTCGCTATGAATGCATTTCTTGGCTGGTTGATTAGTAGAATGAAGGCCAGGTGCAAACATTCTATAGATTCAGACATGGAGACTTCTTTTGTCCTTAGCACCACCAGTGGAAGTAAGAAATCTCCAGTAGGTTACTTTTTTTTTTTTTTTTTAATGTTTTAGTTTGAATTATGTGATCGTTTACTTGGGAGAACATTAGTTTTACATTCATCCTATTGTTTATCGTTTCATTGCCATGGTTACAGTCCCCTCCATGCATCATCAACTAACCAAAGCCTGCCCCCGAGTCATCAGCACACAGCCCCTCTCCCTCTCTGTATCTAAAGTCCCCAGCTGCTCCATCCCTCCACGTCATCGTCTCTGCTCCATCTCAGGCATCACTGCTTCTCTGGGTAAAGTCCTGCTCTCCGCTCTTCTCCCTTGATGGTCCCAGGGACCTCTGCTCCTAGGCTGAAAAGTTATTCACTCCCCTCCTTGCTACAAAATGTCTACCTTTACATTTCCAACCCTCACAAGCAGTCCTGATAACAGTTATTCACTATTGTATCACAAGATACCCATCTGCTTTTCATTTCATCAGCCCTGCCTAGACAGATTGTATACTACTCAGTGGAGATTCTACCTTCCTTCACGCCCTCTGAATCTAGGTTTCCAGTGGGTCACTTTTAATACCACTGGAAGACTAAGAATGGCAGTAGAGGAGTGGAAAAGGAAGGGAAACAAAATAAGGAGAAATGGAATAATTAAAGAATCAAGATGATACAACTTTTGGATGAGGCCATCATAACTCTAGGAACCCCTTTCTTTGAACACCTTTAAGTAAAGAATGGACAGTTTAGATCTAGGAAGGGACAGGAGCCCATGAATGCAAGGACTTTACCAGAGGGTCTTCCAACTCTGTCTGCAGGCTCCCTCCTAACACCTTCCCAAGTCTAATGTCCTACTGTTGTATTTACAAAACTGATTTAGCCTACATTTCAGTGGCCACTTAAAAAGCCACCCATACTTTTGATACAGAGAGGTTTTCTCTAATAATATTGAAAAGTATCAAGTCACTGTGCATTGAGGTAGTAGATGTTGACAATCGATTTTCTTATCCTCTGAAATCTCTTGTTAATTTATCTTGGCATGACAGCTTGTGTGGGCCTCTGTGGTTTGCTGCCAAAAAAAATTGTGTATGTGTGAAATATTAGGGAGACAAGGCAAATGAACACCAGTACGCCAAGAGAACTTTAAGTTCTGTCAGGGAGGAAAGGTGCCAGGTCTCCATAGGCTTTGGGATAGACAGTGGGCTAGACAGGATAGAAAACTGAATCCAGGTCCCCACTCATTGTGTGCTGTTGTTTTGATTCACAGGTATGGCAAATCCCTCCAGTGCCCTGGGACATGCCTTTTCAACACCACCAAAAGATGGGGAAGGAGCCTGCTACACATCTCTTATTTCTGACATCTGTTATCCACCTCAGGTGGATTCAACATATTTCACAGGAATTCTTCAGAAGGAAAATGGCCATGCCAGCAGTTCAGAGAGCCCTGATGAGCTGAGTACTCCTGGACCCTCCTTGCCAGATGTGCCTGGCACAGAGCCTCATGGCTTATTGAGTTCTGATTCTGGAATAGAGATGACTCCTGCGGAGTCTGTGGAGGTGAACAAGATCTTAGCAGATCCTCTGGACCAGATGAAAGCAGAAGCCTATAAATACATTGACATAACCAGGCCAGAAGAGGCAAAGTACCAAGAGGAATGTCACCCCAAGCTGGAAGATAAAGACTTAGACTCTAAGAATAAGGACACTGGAACCCCAATAAAATCTGAAGGGGTCTCTGAACCCAAGAAACCAGCTCCTATAGAAGGAAAGATCATCAAGGACCATTTATTTGAAGAGTCAACATTTGCACCTTATATAGATGATCTCCCTGAAGAACAACGCAGTGCTCCTGTAATCACAGCCCCTGTCAAAATCACGCTGACTGAGATTGAGCCTTCTGTTGAGAGTGCTACTCATGTGAAGGTCCCTGAGAAGCAAGACATCTGTCTGAAACCAAGTCCTGATACAGTCCCCACTGTCACGGTATCGGAGCCTGAAGATGACAGTCCAGGGTCTGTCACGCCTCCATCTTCTGGAACAGGTATGCCCTGCCTTGGGAAAACCCATCATGTGGAAATCCAAATTCCTGAAACACAGAGTAACTATTAACAAGTAAAGACTGACACTGAAAATAATTTAGTGAATTAGCATACAACTTTTTTAGCCATTTTTCTATTATATAAAAGTTGAGATCTGGAATTTTCCTCAAGTCTAACAGATTTGTTTGGTAGTAATGCTTCTTCTTCATTTAAGGGAGAGATATGCTTCCGTTGAAAACCTTAAAATCCTCATATGGCCCTACTTTCCAGATCCCAGAGATTGCCTCTGGGTTAGCTTCTGAGTTAGTTCTCCTTCCTGGGCCTGGTAGTCTCCTGGGGCATCATGGGAGATCACCTTCAGTGTTCTCTCCAGCCACCTTCTCCCCAGATCAACTGGACTTCTTTGAGAAGGGCATTTAGCAATGCAGGGCCCAGATTTCAGTTTGATAAACTGTTAGTTCCCATTACGAATAAAGGACAATGTCTTCAAGTGCGACTGAGTCCCTTTGACTCATACTAAGATTATTTATAACTTTGCACCTTCACTTTTCCTCCCACACCCTAAAGCTATCATCCTTTCTTGTGAGTAAATAAAGCAAAATTCTATAACACTTTTTCTGAATGCTCTAAAACAGTCATTTTCAATGAGAGGTAATGTTGCCAGGTAAAATATAAATATTTCATGGGACATACTTATACTGAAAAGTATTCAGTCTTTACTAGAAATTCCTGTGTTTCTGGTAGATGAATCTTCAATTAGAGATGATTATTAGAATTACCTCTGGAATCACAAAATGCAGGTGCCTGGGCCCCATCTAGATTTCAGATTTATAGTAAGTCAGATTCTCAAAGTTCATTGTTGAGCTACATATCTGGTTAAGAACTGTTCTTCAAGACCTGAGCTAGCTTTCACATAACTGTTGTTTATTGAGTGCCTTCTGTGCCAGCTACTGCTCTAAGTGTTGGGGGTATGATAGCATACCTTGGCTGGCCCTTGCCCGCATGGTAATTTCAGTCTGGCTCGCAAAGAGTGACTAAAGGTGAAGAGGCAGATATTTATTTATTTACACAAATAAAAAGTTGCCTGAGGCTCCTGGTTCTATAGAACGAGTGGGTGCCAGCTCATCTCCTGAACAACCCAGCATGCGGCCAGCTGGCATGCAGGCTGGGATGTCTTGCAGGACTACTCGTGGTCCCCTGAGCCCAAGATAACATTAGCATCCCCCTTCTCCTTAATTCAGCTCAATCTCCAGACTTCCATGTTTTTTCTCATTGAGAGCCGGCATTTCTGAGAGATGTCTGACTGACGCATGCCCTTTTCTCACCTCCACGTGAATCAGACTCCATGTCTGTTGTTTCCCTCTCATTAGTGTCTCTTGAGTTTTCCTCCTTTTTTCTCTCCCTTCAGCGGCACAGCCTGCATTCCTGGTGTGGCGGTGTAGGACGAGCACTGGACTGTTGATATCAAGGTCAATGGTTCAAACTCACCAGCCACTCCTTTGAAACCCTATGCAGGGTCGCTATGAGTTGAAATCGACTCCACAGCACTCAACAGTGACTAATAATGCTGTGCGTTAGTCATGTGCTTATTGGGCATTTGTTTATCTTCTTTGGAAAACTCTTTTCAGGTCCTTTGCCCACAGTTAGAATGAATTTTTTTTTTTTCCTTTTTCTTGTTGTTGTTGTTGTTGTTGTTATGTGCCATCGAGTCGGTTCCGACCCATAGCGACCCTGTATAGGGTTTCCGAGGGTGTAAATCTTTACGGGAGTAGAAAGCCTCATCTTTCTCCCGCGGAGCAGCTGGTAGTTTCGAACCGCTGACCTTAAGGTTCGCAGCCCAATTCGTAACCACTACGCTAATGGTTCTTTATATATTCTGGTTAAGTTCCTTATCAGAGATATGATTTGTGAAATTCTCTCCCATTCTGTGAATTGTGTTTCCACTTTCTTGAAGGTTTCATTTGCAGCACAAAAGTTCTTAATTTTGATAAAGTCCAATTTAATATGTTTTTGGTTTTTTTTGTGTTTTGTTTTTTTTTTTTTAATGTCGCTTGTGTTTTTGTGCCATATGTCAGAAAACATTGCCTAGTCCAAGGTCTGTGTTTTGTTGTGAGAGTTTTATAGTTTTTGGTCTTACATATACATCTTGTATGTGATATGAGTGATGTAATTTCATTCTCTTTGATGTAGATATCCAGTTCCCTTTCCTTTTCATCTAATTCTTCAAAATATAACTTATCCCACTGCAGACCTCCCACCCTCTTTATAAGAGGTACAGTGTGATATAGTAGAAAGCACATGGAGCAGAGAGATCTAAATTCACTATCAAGCTAAGTCAATCCTAACTAAGAGGCTCTACCATTGCAGGACACACTTACATACTCAAAGATTATAACTGAAGAGAGTTTAAAGAAGAGCTATTTACAAATATCTAAAGATGGTTAAGCAAACCAACAAAGGATAGTGAAGGCCTGGTTACGTTAGAGAGCCACCACTATCCCTAGGCCTTAAGGAACAAGGGAGGAGAGAATAGCATTCCCAGAGCCTGCCAAGTACTGGAGCTTCAGAAGCAACAAGGAGTATAAATACTCCAACAGCTCTCTCTTCCCACCCCTTTTAGACTGAAAACAATGAGGATCCTGAGGCAAGAGATCGTGGGTATCATCTGTGATCAGCATCTCAGAGGACTGAACAGGGCAGAGAAAGATGGGAATGGGTCCAAGGGGGCAAAGGGAGACAAACCAGTACAGTGACCTTAGACAAGCCACTTAACCTATTGCCAGTGGACACTAAGCTTCACGTGCCTGGCGGGCAGCAATGGATCTGTAACCATGATGCTACTGTTGACAGTTATCTGGAGGTATCAATTGTTTCTTAACGTACATGACTCTTTATTCCTTATCTTCTTCCTCCTTGCTCTAGCCTACCACTCAGAGATGTGGTTTTAATACCATTATGATATTTGAAATCATATCAAAGAACTGGGTGGACAATTCATTAAAGAACTGACCTCCATAAAAACAGAGTTTGGAGTTATGTAGTACATCTTTCTAAATGACCATGTCTCACCTTTTCTTCTATTATTCTCCTCCTTGTTCACTTTTCCTCAGACACAGTGGCCTCCTTGCAATACCTAGAAATCATTGCAGCTCCCAGCTCTGTTTATGCACCATTTATTCCCACCTTTTGGCATGGATTTGCTATGGAAATGTTCATAAGTCATTCTCTGACCTTCTTCAAGTCTTGAAAATATGTTACATTCTCAGTGAGGCCTATCTTGACTACCTTATTTAAAATTGCAAACCTAACCCAATCCCATTCTTAATCCTCTTACCCTGGTTTACTTTTTTCATAGTACTTATGGAGTCCTGGTGTGGTATTGTAGAATAAGCACTCGACCTCAAGGCCAGGGGTTCAAGCTCACCAGCTGCTCCTTGGAAACCCTATACAAGGTTGCTATCAGTTGGAACCAACTCAGCAGCACTTAACAACAACACCACCTTTATGTACTGTGTACTTTACTTCTGCATTATGTGTATTTGTATTGCTTCCCACTCTCACTAGCATGTAATAGACATTTTGTTATCTAGTTCATACACAAATACTTCCGAAGTTAGAGGAAGGCCTAACCTTACAGTTCATTTTCAGTAAATAATAGGTGAATGAATGGTATGTGGGTAACAAATAAAATCAATTTTGCATCATAGAAAATTACAATAGTCTAAAACATTTTATCCATTGGGGTTCACCCACAATCCTAGCCACTTCTTCTTCCTTACATTTCCCTGATGAGCTCAGAGCTTTGGAGAAATGGCAAGTAGTTCTTGTCAAAAGTGCCAGAGACCATTGTCTACAGTCTTCTGAAATAAGGCCCTGCTGTGTAGCGAGGGAAAACTAAGCTCCCCCTAACACTGTTGTCATGGTGATCCCAGGTAGTTTCATCCAAGACAGAGGAATCTCAGCAAGATTGCCAGTGTTGCTTATGGACCATCTGGGTAAATATCAGGCAGAAGATCGGCATTCATCCATGGGGCTAGGGGTGACTCGTAGCTTTTGTTCTCAACAGGAGCTTCAGAAAGGGGAAGGAACAGCAGTGGGCTACTGCCTTTGGAAGGCTTGCAGGACATAGCCTGCTTGGTGGAACTGGCAAACCATCTCTTACATTGCTTTATCTAGTTGCACTTTACACTAACAAAGATTTAAAATACTGATTTTTATAGGAAATGTAAAGCTCAAAATTCAATATATACTAGGATCCAAAGCTGTCTTTGTCCTCTTAAAAGAGGAGTCAGGGAACATGAACAGGAATGAATAAGGAGAAATGAATTATTTTTAGTGTTGCTAATACTAGTGGGCCAAATTAGAGTTAATACACATCAGGTTCTCTGAAGCCACCTCTGAGAAATTGAAACACATTGAAGAAATCAATCAAAAACTAAAACAATGACTTCTAGAATCTCTCCTGCTTCAAAGCAGAAGAAAACCACCCAAGGTTCTGTTGCTAAGAAATTGCTGGGTCATTTTTAAAAATAGCTAGATGAAGATAGATAGGTATGTAAAACACTGATTAATTGGGCCAAAAAGTAATTAGCCTTTTAGTTCAGGTGGCCTGTCTTTCCAGCATAGCCCTGGAAACAGACAGTTTTGTGCTAATGAGGTATGTGTTTCTCAAGCAACAACAAAACATCTCCCCTAATGGAAGTTTGTTTTATTTCTTCTCTCTCTGTCCATCTGTCTGTCCTTGTGTGTGCCTCTCTGGTTCTTTTTCCTTCTGTGGGCCGACACAACCATCTGCTGCAGAATCCCAGGGGAAATGCAGCATCTCTGAGGATGAGTTGATCACTGCCATTAAAGAAGCAAAAGGGTTATCCTATGAAACCACGGAGAGCCCACGGCCAATGGGTCAGATGGCCGACAGACCTGGGACCAAGGCCAGGTCTGGGCTGCCGACCATTCCCAGTAGCCCTCTGGACCATGAAGCCAGCAGCGCGGAGTCGGGGGACTCGGAGATCGAGCTGGTGTCCGAGGACCCCATGGCCGCAGAGGACGCACTGCCCTCGGGCTATGTGACCTTTGGCCACGTGGGCGGCCCACCACCCTCGCCTGCCTCGCCTTCCATCCAGTACAGCATCCTCCGGGAGGAACGTGAGGCCGAGCTGGACAGCGAGCTCATCATCGAGTCGTGTGACGCCTCCTCGGCTTCTGAGGAGAGCCCCAAGCGGGAGCAGGATTCGCCCCAGATGAAACCCGGCGTCCTGGACGCCATCCGGGAAGAGACAGGCGCCCGGGCCGAGGAGCGCGCTCCCACCCGGCGAGGTCAGATTGAGAACGAGCCCTTCCTCAAGTACCTCTCTGATGTCCCCGAGATCGAGATCGGCCCCGAGCTGCCGGAGCTGCCCGCTGGAGACGGGGTCTCAGCGCCCCCGGAGCCCACGTCGCAGCAGAGACCTGCAGAGGCTGCGAGTTCCAGTCCAAGTCCCGAAGCCACAAAGGACACTGAGCCACAAGATCCCAGCGCAGCGCCTCCTCTTCTGTTTCTAAATAAGCAAAAAGGTAAAGTGAATGCTTTCCTGACTGAAGCACAATTGTCTCATGCATGTTCTCTCCCTGGGTGCTCTGAGGTGTTCAGCAGGGACGCGATTCTGCCTCATTCCAGTAACCACCACTTTAATGACCAGAGAACAATTCTAAGGGGAATGTGCAGGAGAGGCGAGAATTCACTTTGCTGCTGGAACTTCAATGGCAGAACCATGGGCCCTTGGTAGCACGCTGGGCTTGCTGAACCTAACTTGTGTGCACTTCTAGGTCTCAGGGATGGAGATCTGTGTGTACCACCTTCCTTTCATTCCAGCCATTGGCTTCCTCGCTTGAAGAGGGATGGTGTTCTTGCTATTGCTCAGGCTCGGTTCCAATTCCATGCCTTCTCAGTAATGGCAGTGGGTTAAAGTCTCTGTAGAAGCTAGAACCCATAGTTATTCACACGTTCCATTTTACCAGCCAAGCATGCTTCTTAAATGGACCAAACCGAGTTAACCAAGACGCAAGAAATTTGGACCTAGATGTGTGTGTGGCCCACCTAGTCAGGGGAGACATGTACCAAAGTTTGCTCCAGAGCTTCTCATGTCCCGAAAGAATACCTGAAGCTGACTTACTGACTTTCGAAGTAGCTTATACCTTTTGTTGTTGTTGTTGTCAGTTGTCATCGAGTAGATTCAAACCCATAGCGACCCTGTATAGGGTTTCCAAGGAGCAGCTGGTGAGCTTGAACCGCCGACCTTGCAGTTCAAATGGCTTTGCAGTTGGGTGCATTAACCCACAGCGCCACACCAGGACTCCTTTTAGAATGATTTAATTTTGGTCATTATGCTCCTCCTTTAAGAAATCTTGAGCTGACGTCTACCAATACAGGAAAATGGAAGTTGTCATTTTCTCTTCCGATCACTGAATGTTATAGCGGAGTCTTCACACAAGAAAAATCCTGCACCATACCAGATCACAGGTGTTAAAGAATTCAGAAAAGTGATCAAAAAGTTACACGGATCTATAAGCCCCTCATCATTCTATGTTTGCCAGTGGGCAACACAGTGGTTGAAGGCTGAGTCACCTACAGAGAACGCCCAAGTAGAACTTTTAAAAGACCCTCAAAACACCAGTTTATCCAAGTCCCTTTTCATCCATCCCCTCTGCTTTTTGCTGCTTTAGAAATATTTTGCCTTTGGGGGATAAATGATTTTAAGGGTACAACCTCCTTCCTGTGTATATGCTAACTTCAGTGATGTCAGTAGCAATTAAAGTGCTTCATATAAAAATAGAGAACGAAATCTTTCTCAATATAGATCGGAAGCTAGCTTCCAAATTCTTTAAAATGAATGCATTGGAGTGAGTTTCCTTAGAGGAATGTTATAACAAGAGAGTTCTGTTACATGGTAGCTTCCGCAAGAGCCTGAGTGAATTGACTTTTGATTTCCCAAATAATTCTCCTGAGCTAAATATTCATATAGCTTATGTGGTAAGGAGGATATTTGACACAGATCACATTGGGAGTGTGTATTTATTGTTGTTGTTAGGTGCCATCAAATCGGTACCAACTCATAGCGACCCTATGCGCAAAAGAACGAAACACTGCCCGATCCTGGGCCAACCTCACAACTGTTGCCATGCTTGAGCCTGTTGATGCTGTGTATTTGTTAGATAATTTTTTTTTTTTTTTTAAACACCACTCTGATTGTGATGGGCAAGGACCTGGAAGCTAGTGGGCCCCAAGGGCAACAGCACTAGCATGAACAACCTGCTGTCCCCTGTTGGTCTTGAAGAAATTGAACTTGAGGCATGCTAAGTGTGTGTTCACATCACTCACTATAATAGGTATGGGTCTCCATTTCATTGTCCACCAAGTATTCCTGAAATAATCACCACATCCACTGTGCTGTTGGAACATATTTATTCTCAAAAATAAATAAATCTGATGGTTCAAGCAATTTTAGAATTTCCAGTAAATTTTAGAAACAAATGAGTTGGAATCGACTTGAAGACAGTGGGTTTGATGGTTTGGACAACAGCTGGGACTGAGCTAGAGGGATGGGAAACTGCGGCTGTGCATGGGAAGGCTTCGGAGCATCTTTTTGGGCCAATTCTGGCGTCTTTCAAATCTCTGTGCAAATTGTCCCTTATGACTTGGACTCTCTGCTGTTAAATTTAGAAGTTAAAGAGGCAAGAGAAGCAGTCTTTTTAAAAGATAAAGGCATGCCAGGGTGTATAACCTCTGTTCTACTCATCACTAGGAGTCCTTTGAAATCCAGTCTCCCTCTGAAACATACTGCCTTAGCAGTATTATCTAGAAGAGAGTCTAAAAGACCATTCTGGGGCAGCTGAGCGCTGGAGGTCCTGGGTGGAGGATGACTCAGCACTACTAGCCAGTTATTTGAGCTCTGAGCTTCCTTCTGCCCTCACCTGCTCCTTGTCAGCAGGTGAGAGAGGAGTAATGCTCCCAGCCTCCTCCAGGCTGTTCTTAATCACTGTGAGTTGACAGCAGGATTGTGCTCATTGTCAAGTACCACAGCCTCAGCAGTGAGGTCTGGGCAGCTTCTGTGGTTTCCTGCTCTTTGCTGAAGCCTCTGGCAGTATAAATGCATTCGGGTTTATGTTTTCAGAAGATGCTCATCCCTCTGGCTTTGAGCCATCCTGCTGATGCTGGACTAGATTTCAGAAGGGTCCAGATATACTTAGGATAAGTCTGAGCCAGTATTTGATGCTTCATAGCATGCACTACCAAGGAACGTCAAGTTTACTGGTGCACATGTGCTAACAAAATCTATTTTGGGAATTTTTAACCTTTAGATAGCTCCTCTGTTGTTACACTAGAGATAAAATGGGGCTCTTCTGAATTTCCAGTTTTTCTTCCTCCTGAACTGCTGCTTATATTTCTGTTTCCTACACCTTCCAGATGGTCTCTTATGAACATTAGACCTTGAAGAGATAAATAAAATTTTACTTCTGGAAGGTTCGTTCTAACTGTTGGAGTCCCTCTTTGGTGCTAACAGTTAACTTGCTCAGTTAGTTGGAATCCACCGCGAGATACCTATTTCCAAAAGTCAGCCATCGAAAATCCTACAGAGCTCGATTTTCCTCTGACTGCCATTTGTCAAGGCAGTTAGTTTGGATTTTAGTTCAGTTAAGAACATCTGAGGGGGAGAAAAATATAAAAGCTAATAAGCTCAAAGGGGTTTCAAAAGTTTATGAAAATTTTTTATTGTTTTATACTTCTACTTTTCCAGGAACTTTTTAAAGCCTACTCTTACTCAGTCTGATTCATCAGGATGGGTCAGTGGGATTTCTCAATCCTATTTCATTGCAGACTCCTTTTTATTCAAGCATACCTCCAGGGAATACACTTTGGGAAACTGTTGTCTCTTCCAACTCATTTCCATTCCCTGCATTCTGATTACTTTTAACTTGCAACTCAAACATTACAGAACATGAACCAGCCTCTTCAGTCATATGTAGGAGCCTGTTAGATACAGGAAATCTCAACCTCCAACTCAGATCAACTGAATCTGCATTTTAACAAGATTCCATAGAGATTTCTGTGTACTAGAGCAGCTGGAGAAGCAGTGTAAATTTTAGCCTATGACAGTCACATTGTCACATTCATGATTCATGAATGAAACCATTCTGATAAGGTCACCCACGACTCTCTTTTCACCAAAGAAAATTTCCATGTCCTCTCTGGCAATTAATATGATACTGCTGACCAGTCCTTTAAACATTTAGTAAGAAAGATATGTATGTTTCTGATAAATTAAAACTGTAGAACATGGTACAAAAGAAAAAATTTAAGTTCTCCTACTCCATACTTTCCTAATTCCTAATAGCTATAGAGTTTATTGTTGTTTGCTGCTCTGTTCGTTGTATCCTTTCCAATTATATGTTTGGCATCTGCAAAAACCAAATGGGGACCATGTCTCACTTCCCCTGACTTCAAAAGGAATAACAAGAACCAAACTCAAAATCAGCCCAAGGCCCATTTCTGTGAAGCAGAGGTCAGACATGCCTCCACCCTACAACCTTCTTTACCCTACTTTGACAACTGCCATCCCTCCCACAGCATTCTGTTTCACATCTGGGTTTGACAATCCATTGCAAATGGCCACACAGAACTCAAAGCAATATCCACGATTATGGGCTTTACTAGGGAAGTGAACAAGTTACAATTCAGGATCAAAACCAACTTGGGATGCAGCTGTTCGTCAGTCAGGAACATCTTTTGTCTGCTATACTGCAAACACACCTCACTCTTTTCAGCCTCTCTGCCATGTGATCCTTTGAGCTCTGTCTCCTTAGACCTGAGCTCTCTCTGCCATGTGATCCTTTGAGCTCAGGTCTAAGGAGTTCTGGTAGTGTAGTGGTTACAAATAGGGCTGTGAACAGCAAGGTCAGCAGCTCGAAACTACCAGCTGCTCAGCGGGAGAAAGTTGAGGCTTTCTGCTCCCATAGAGATTTATAGCCTCAGAAACCCTGTTCAGGGTCGCTATGGGTCGGAACCGTCTCGACGGCACTTAACAACAACAACAAGAGCCAGCAGAGGAGTTCTGGTAGCATAGGGGTTACAAGTCAGGCTACCAACCTCAAGGTCAGCAGTTCAGAACTACCAGCTTTTCTGTGGGAGAAAGATGAGGCTTTCTGCTCCTGTAAAGATTTACAGCCTCAGAAACACTGTACAGGGTCGCTATGAATCGGAATCAACTCCACGGCACATAACCACCCCCACTACCACCCCATCCAGTCACTTGGTGGGAATTAAGACACTGGATAAAAAAGCCTTATGAAGTAAATTCAATGACTTTCCCAGCCATTGTCTTTAATAAATGAAAGATTAATGACTCCTCCCCTTCAGTTACCCACATCTTCTATAATGGCAGTTTTGACAATCACAATTAATCCTAACAATTATTCATAATTGAATCATAAAATCTTATCCGCATCATCCCCCACTCCCTTTCACCAGAATTATCTGGAAAACTATTCAGTGGGGATTCTACCTTTCCTCCTCATTC